ACATGGCCTTTTATGTCGACCGTCTCTGATAGTGGGAACCTGCCAGACACTCCCTTGCCGGGCTCGCATGACCGCAAGGCCTATGAGGCCCATCTAGCCACCATGAAGGAGATTGTGTCTCAGTTAAGATACCTTCCTGTCATTGAAAAGTGCCTCCATCAGTACTACGCTGCTAAGCATAACTCACTTGTACCGAAACCAGTCGTTCTGCACCTTCTCAATGCGCTCCGTACAGATCTAGTATCGTCGGGCTATATCCTTGAAGAAACGGGAGATCGAGTCGAGTTGGGCGATATTTCGCGGTTATCAGAATCTATACTGCTTTCTTCCTCTACAGAGGTTATCATCACCGCATCCTTGGACCTGCATGGTTTCTTAGCCTTGTTCTCTGGTCCGAATCTTCGAGTCGAGACTCTCGGTCTTTTGTATACTATGGCTGCCCGTGCTTCGGCTTTTTTCATTGATTGCGATGAGGGTAAAGATGCCGCATTCGTCCCAGACATGGTCTGGTATAGCACGGTAATCTTACGACTAGCTCGAGACCTTGCACCCCTGTCAAACGACGTCATTATATGGTTGGCGAATGAGAATGGACAGCTCAGGTCATTCCTTGAAGGAGATACGAGTGAGTCACTTTTATACATATCGTGAATGGGTGGATACTGATTGATTGCAGGCCTCGGCGTGTGGCGTCTGGTGGGCGATCTCTCGACTGATTTATTGGCTCTGGGCTTGAACAGGGAAGCGACATATTCCCCTGAGAGAACCCCGTTCTTTCTTGCAGAGTGCCGGAGAAGGTGCTTTGTGACTGAATATTACCTGGAGAAGATGTTTGGCCTGATATTCAATCTACCTCCTCGCATTACCTCTCGATATGTGGACGTCAAGCTCCCCCTTGATTTGTCAGATGACGAACTTTTTGCCCAAACTCCCCAGGACCTAGAGGATGCAAAAGGTCGACTCACGGAAGATGGCTGGAACACAGATGGGAAGCTTAGAGCAGCAACCTGGGCTCGATTGCGATATATTTTGAGTCAGTTTCGGGAGGGAATTGTGGAATATAATTTTCAAGCATCACAGGCCGCTGACCCTGCCCAGCTGAGGTGTGTACAATCAGTCGTACAGGGGTTGAACAGCACTAAGGTTGTTTCAGAGAATTGTCTTCTCGATGTCGTCAGACGTGGGATAACCTGCTTCCTCATCTAAGATATACTCAGGACTGCTGGGAATCTGACATGCCCTTGAGCACTTGTTACATGCACGCGAAGGTGCATCTAGCCTATCTCCAAATTCATTTCCAGATACACCACCTTCTTGGGGAGAATAGCTCAACTCCGCTTCCCGAGCTGCTCGACGTATCGGCAAACATTCTGGAGACAGTGGTTCAGATGGGAAATACTCGCAGAAAGGGCGCCTTTACTTTGCATGATCTACCTGAAATCGTATGTGCTGCTCTACCCCCGTACCGACCATCTGTTTGTCATAGCTGACAGGGTGAAGCTTCTGGCCTGCGGCTTGCCGTCTGCGGCAGTCCTCCTAACTACACTAGAGAACAATACACAAGATTTGTCAAGTATCCTTCCGCCTGGCATAAAAACATCATCCGTCATTCGCAATGTTGCCGTCCTTACGTCGCACCTCGAAAGGGTGGCCAGTTCCCGGGAAAGAAATCAAGCCTTCTGCTTGCAGGCGGCAAAGGCGATCACGGAGAAATTGGACAGGATTTTGGACAAGCTTGCGACGTCAAAGTTTCAGGCTCGGACAATTGCTGATGTTGCGACAAGGGTTGACGTAATGAACTCGATGCCGACTCCGACCACTGATCTTGACGCTTCCCTCACTGGTGGAGACAGTGCTGGAGATGGGGATAGAGAGATCGGTACCTTTAATCTGGATGACTACGACAATCCCGATCTAATGTCTTGGGCAATCGATTTTGACCTTGGAAGCATGGCCAGCGAGTGGACAATGATGTAGAACTCGCAATCATTGCCGAATTCTGCAACGCCCAGTTATTCATACCCGTCGTTCGGAATGCCTAACAATGGGTGAAATATTTCTACCCCAGGCAGTGCTCTCTGTCGCTCAGAGACATGACAATTTCACTAGGAGAAGGGGGCACAACATGCTTGGCTTTTAGTTCTGACCCGAACGGACCTCGTGCTGCCCGCGTGCAATGAAATCTTCCACGATACGGACATACCACGTTTCTCGAGTGGGGCAAGAACCGAGAACATGCGAACCCAATCATATCCTTGTATCTGGTTTCCTAATAGTGATAGTCTATGTTTTAGATGATCATTTACGTGGCCGGGGCAATGAATCAGCTCATCGAAATCCACGCAGCCAAGATGCCATCACCACTTCCTTCTCTCTGCTGTGCTGACCAATCCTTGTTCCTCTCTCCGTAGTCAAGATCTCACCAAATAACAAGACTGCTTGCAAAGCTCAGGCCGGTAAACACCTATCGCGGCCCACGGCCTCCTCCTTGGCTGGCTTTCGGGTTAGTATTTACTGCGCTGGATACCTTGACCTAGGGATCAGAGTCAATAACGGGAAAGCAATGGACTGAAGCATCTCATTTTGGGGCAATGACAGGGTCGGCGGAAGTCTCCATTCCCCGGTCTCCACGACGAGCTTTCCAGCGGGATAGAAATTAAAAGCTACCATTCAGGAGCCTAACCGATAGACGAATGTTACTAACTAGACTACCCACTGCGAAGGCAGTGGCTCAACATCATGTTCCTTTCATGAAGGTAGAGCAGACGGTCTGAATTGAGAAACATCTACTCTCGCCGAATACACGACCCAAATACCCTTCGCATATAACTTCTGAACTTGGAAACAAAACGGCCCTGTCCACCATGATGGCTACATGTTTTGACTTCTTGGAATATTATGCTGAAAGCTTCTATCTATCTATCCATCTCTGGACCAGACAAAAGACGCTCAGACAAACCGAAGGGCGTCTCAAGTTACTTTATCTGGGACGTATGGGCTTCTTCTCCCCTCCACCAGCTGGCTTAGCTAGCTAGCCAGCCCTCTTCCGCTGAACCTGCACACTCCAGAGCGCTGCCCCGGCACCGAAAACCGCCATTGCGAGAACAATGTACATCCACGTTATCTTAGGATCAACGGTCAGCGGCAAGACGGCCATAGCAAGGAAGGTCCCCACCGAGACGGTGGACAAATACAGCGCCATGATCAGCGACCTCATTGACTTGGGCGCGTTGGCATACGCGTATTCCAGGCCTGCCACCGACGCAAGACACTCTGATGAAGCGACGAGGATATACGCGGGGACCTGCAGGAGCACAGAGACGTCGTTGGGGACCTGTCCATGCATGCAGGTGGGCGACCGTGGATGGTCGTAACATGGCGGGGAGACGTAGATAGTCCGCTGGACGAAAGCGGCGTAGAGCATGGCTAGTGCGCAGACCATGAACCCCGCTGTGATGCGGGGGAAATGGTGGACGGGGTATCCGAGGTTGCGGATTGTGGGAAAGATGAGGCGGTCGAGTAGGGGGAGTAGGAAGAGTGTTGTGATGGGGTTCATGTAGGGGAGGATGTCGTTGGGGATGCCGTGGGTTTGCATTGTCGCGGCTTGGGAAATGAAGTTCGTTAAGAGCTGGGAGAAGGCGGCCCAGTAGAACGGGTAGAGGAGGAAGACCTTGCTTGCGCTGAGGGCTGTTTGGAGGTCGTCGATGAAGGAGTTGGACCAGGGATATTCTTGGTATGGGCTTTCGACTGGTTCTAGGGCAGGTCGGGCGCAGTTGAGGTTACCTTTATGTTTGATTGTGATCCAGAGAGCGTGGAGGACGTTCGGTATAATGGATCCATCCGGCGCACTACTCTTATACTGGTCTTTGCTGGTCATGAAAGCTATGAAGCCAATGATGAAGACGGCCATCGGGATGGCGAATGCTGCCGAGAACCCGTAGGATTGTTCGATTTCGACTGAAGCCAGAGCAGCAAGACAGCCGGCGTTGATAAAGAGAAAATAAGTTGCAAAAATCCTGACGAATGTCAGACTTTGCATAAGAAGGAAGTCTAGAGACAGACCTTTGAACCGTCAACTCTCTATCAATGATGACTGTTTCACCCGATTTGAGCAGACGGATAACTTGACCAGGAGACGTGTACTGCTCAGCAAGCAACGGGCTAACATTCGCCTTGATGCCACCAGTGCCGACGCCTATCAGAAATAGAGACAGAAGCAATCCTGGCAATGAAATGACCGTTTCTTGAACAGCAGGTAGAGAGGATAGGACCAAAGTCGCCAATCCGCCGCCGTAGATAGCAGCAGAGTACAGGATGGTTTTCACCCGGCCGAGATACTGCTCGGCGACAACCGCACCCAATACAGGCGTCAGGAAACACCAGATCATGAAGCCTTGGTTGACCAAAGTAGCATGAGCCTGTCCGAGTCCTAGGTATTCGCGTCAGATTATGTTGCACTGGCTGGATAAGCATGACAAACCGATTCCACCAGAGCGGATAGGGTCATCTCGTGGGTTTTGGATGTAATTCTGCATGGGTCCCAGGACCCCAAAATAGGCGAATCGCTCGCAGAACTCAATGCTCGCAATGACCCAGACGGTGAATGGGAAGTTGTCTGCAACTTTCCTTAAATGACCGTGGCCATTGGCGATGGAAGATGGTGGAGGAATGTCCTCTACTATGGCTGGCAGGAGGGGAGTGCGATGGGTCGCGTTTAATGTAGTCGCAGTTTCTGGTTCAGGTCTAGACATGTTGGAAAGAATTGCATCATATACAGATACCCAGTGAAGCCTAGAAGAACACTTTGAACGTGACTTGAAAAATAACAAGAGAGGATGTCTGGGCTTGCAGAGATATATATTTCTGGTGGTACCTGGTAAGGTATGATTACTAACTGTACCGGAGCGGTATAGTTGACTGTAAGCCGAAACTCCCAAATACCATAATACCACCGCTTCATCGCCACGCAAATGTCAACACCCACACTCCTGCTTCATCCTTTATTCTTTTATCAGAAACCACAAAAAGGCAGCCCCAACAAGCACCCCATCATGCGGATGATGAACTCGATCTATCCCATCTCGGTATGTGGCTTCATCTAGCACAGATCCGCGCCTCCGCTCCAGCAACTCGCAGGCAATCGTGGCATCGTACTCCGGATGTCCCTGCAGAGTCATGACCCGGTTCGTGACGTAGATTCCCTGCACCTCGCACCGGTCGGAATGGCCTAGCTTCTTGACGGACGCTGGATACCGCCGGACGACGTCGCGATGCATCTGATGAAGCGCCTGCCAGCCATTTGATCCTCGTTAACACTGTCCAACACGCCAGCCACGGAGTGAACAAATATACCAGGGAATCGCAGCCAAAGACTCTCTTACCCGTCTCTGATAGTGTGACAGAAGTAACAGAGACTTCCCAGCCCAAAGTATTCCGTTCAGCTGTTTCTCCATATGCGCGTCCGACAATCTGGTGCCCGAAACAGACGGCCATGATTCGGACCCGCGATTGCTCGTGCAGCAGCGATTTGGTAAAGTCAACGAGCTTCAAGATCCAATTATTCGAGCCTGATGTGAAAGAATCATGGCCTTAACGAAAGAAGAGATATATTAGCTGTAGTCTCTGAGCAGGAAGTGGGCAAGATAAAGGCGGCGTCACTCACGGCTACCTGTCATGAATACCGCGTCGATTTCCCGGATGTTTGGGTATTCTTGCTTGATTACTACGTCATAGAAGAAATATTCAATATTGGGTCTCTTGTGGAGACCACTTTCCTCGAGCTTCTGCGCCCCGGCCTCCAGGAACTTTCTGTAGAAATTGCCGATGCTTCCGTGTTCCTTCTTGGGGTTCCCGGCCAGCTCATCGCACATGAGTATGGCAATGCGCAAAGTTGATCGCATTTTTTCTGACCTCCGGATGGAGCGTTTCGTGAAGCATAGGAATCGGAAATATATATGTCTACAAAATCCTAGCCCTGCACGGTGCCCCCTCAGCCTAGGTGTGTCATCGAAAGGATTGACACTGTATCAGAAAGACCAGACCTAGCAGGTTTACGGTGAATGGCTGCCTTCAGTCATCTAGCTTACTGTGTTATAGTAAGGGTAGGTCTTATGCTAACAAACTCGGAGGCAACCAGTAGGTATTGGCCTACCATGCTGAATACAATTTTACTCCTGTCCAACTGGGGACGCTGTTTTGCAAACAAAGCCTCTTGACTAGCTACGTCTCAAGTATTCATGGCATACACCCGGCGTGCCGCACTCGGCAAGACATTGTCTGTCTGGCCGTCCTCAATCACCAACATTTCCTGAGCCCACTCGCAAATGGTATTTGCCAACTTCTCCGCTTGATCCAGATCATTATGGGCGTGGAAGACCAGGCGCACCCGACTTTTCCCTTTCGGTACTACCGGGAAGGATATGTTATAAGCGTTGATATTGTTGATCATCAGATGGAAGAAGAGGTACAGCTCGTGTTTTGGACGAGTCAGTACCGGCACTATGTGAGTGAGGTGCTCGATGCTCTCGTAGTCCTCGGCGAGGGGAATGTTGAGGATCCCCTGGTCCACGGCTTCATCCCATACCGGATGGGCGGTGATGGTTTCGAGAAAGTGCCGGACACTGCTCTGGACTTTCTGTATTGGCTGGAGCTCGTGAGCTAGAGATTGTCTCATCCAGGAAGGGAGGAGATACCTCTTCGGCCTCGTTATTCTCCAGCAAGCGGTACCCAGCGCGCATGGACGCCACCATGGGGAACGACGGTGCGCCGCTGTAGATGGCAAACCGGGCATTGCTGATCAGCCGATCTCGAATCGTCTTGTTGCAGAGGATCACACCTGTACTGAACTTAGCCCAGTCCCGTCTCATGCGGCTCACTGACCTCCAGTCGACCCCAACGCTTTACTGCACATATGGATGCGAATCGCAATCTCCTTCTCCAGCCCCAACATATTAACCAGCCCTGCCCCCCTCGGCCCCATCACCCCATTACTATGAGCCTCATCGATGATGAACTGCGCATTCCCAAGCGGAAACAGGTCCTTGACCATCTGCAACATCTCCTCGAGCGGACAAATATCCCCATCCATACTATACACTGATTCAACCGCAATGAGAATCGAAAAGTGGCCCTCCGCAAACCCCGGATACCCCTTCACCTCCCCAAGAACCCCCCTTAGCGAATCCGGATCATTATGCCGAAACGCCAACCGGTGCTGGGCCAGCGAAGCCTTCATCCCCTCATGCGTACTCGCATGGACCGCCTCATCGTAAACAATCGCATCCCCAGGCAGCGTCACAGCCGCCACAGTCCCCGCATTGGCCATGTACCCGGAATGCGCGATATATGCTGTCTCGGCGCCATGGAACGCCGCAATCTCCTTCTCCGTCTGGATGAGGTAGTCGTAGTTGCCGTACTGGACGCGGGAACCCGAGGCACTGAGCCGGAAGTCCTCGTACTGGCTTAGCTCGCCCTGGAATGCTTCACGGATGCGGCCGGTGCGGTTGAAGGAGAGGAAGTCGCTGGAGGTGAAGTCGAGGACGGAGTCGTCCCAGCGGGGCTTGGCGACGAAGAGGCTGTGGTCGGCGCGGGCGAGGTCCATGGCTTGTTCAAGGTTGCGGTAGAAGGCTGGTTGGTGTTTCATGCTTGTTGCGCGGGGCTTGTGGTCTTGCAGCCATTGGGTGAGCATGCGGTCGGCGTACATTGTGAGGGTTGGTCGATTGAATCAGGATTCCGGCGGTGGGGTAAGGGTCAGGTGTGTAAGATGGGATAGGATGGGAGGGATGGTGTGGTGTTCAATCAGGCGATATGGATACTGCACATTGAGGATATTGCTACTGTAACTATCTTTACTGGCTAGACTGCCATGTCGGACACTCGAGTCTCCATTACAGCGCTAGTGGCTTATTGCTTCTGCTTAGTTGAGAGCTTAGTGTTGAGCTTACTAGATCCATACAGACCAGCGCCATGGCATAAGCCAAGTTGTCTTACTGTATTTAGTGTATCTGCAAGCCATAAGCCGTAAGCTATGCCACTAGCTTACGAGTGCCGATCTGTTCGGGGCATTCCTTTCTACTCAACCCATACAAGACAGGAGGCCCAATTCTCCAGCAGACACAAACTCTCCAAGATAGCATTGCCATCCATCCTCCTCACCCATCACACAATGCCAGACCCAGCATCAGCCCTACAAAGTAAGACAGCACATCCCCTCTACCATCAAGCACTAAACACCTTTCCAACCCAGCCGCCTCTTCCCTCTCCCCCTTCCCCCTCAAAGGCCTAGCCGTAACCCTTGAACCCATCACCCCGCAACACATCCCCTCGCTCTTCCGCGGCCTCAACTTCCCCAAAAACAACCCGATAATTGACTACATCGCCAACTTCCCCTACATCCAAACGGAATCCGACCTCGCCACCCACATCGCCAGCACACTCTCCCAAAACCCGTCGCTAACCATCCTCGCCCTGCGCGCAAATCCCCACGTCCTGAACCCGCCCTTCCCTCCCACCCTAACGCCCACAACGGCCTCAGATTCCCACACCGCTGTCTTGGGAATTCTAGGATACAGAACCCACCCACCCAGCCGCACCATCCAACTCGACGACTCCGTCTTCGCGCCAGAACTCCAGCGCACCTATGCCTCCACCGAAGCGCATTACCTGCAATTGGTGCATCTCTTCGAGCACCAAGACTTCACGTGTGCGCGCGTGTGGCTCAAGTCGCATGCGATGAATGTCCAACCCCGCGCGCATACGGAGCGCTTGGGGTATGTATTTGAGGGGACGATGCGCAAGGATAATGTGAGTCGGTGGGGCACGCCGCGGGACTCGGATGTGCTGAGTATGTTGGATGACGAGTGGAAGGGTAATAAGGTCGTGGTGGGGCGGTGGCTGGATAAGGGGAATTTTGGGGAGGATGGGGAGCAGGTCAAGTCTATGGGTGAGGTGAGGAGGGAGGTGGAGGAGGAGAGGAAGAGAGAGGAGAAGGTGAAGAGCTTGCTCTAGGGTGGATGGTGTCCTTGTCTGCCCGCTGGGACGGGGTGTTTGGGACAAAGGGTATCTCATGTATCTTAGCTCCTGTAGCTTCGTTCGAGTTCTCGTGTTTCGGGTCAAGCCAGTTTTGCGCAGTCTTGCTTTGTACATCTACGTCAAGCCATTTCACAGCAATAGAGGTGCACAGTAGCCAACAATATCTGTATCCGTATCCGTCAAATAGATTTGCCGGGTGAAGGCTTCAAAGCGAATGACAGTTACGGGATGAAATACATAGAACTTAATAAATCAATATGAACTCACATACTGGCTAACTACTGCCACTCATCAAATGTCCCAGCCTCATACTCCCCTCAGCGCCCGCCAACCTCTCCAACATCCCCACCGCAAAAGCACCCACCTCCTCAGCCCACCCCAAATCCACCACCCTTGTATCAATCTCCAGATCACCTTGAATCTCCCCCGCCCCCGTCTCCGCCGGCTGCACCCTCCAAACCATGCCAACCGACTCCGCCTGCGCTGTCATCCGATGATGTACTTCCCAGCTGCGCGGCCCCGACGGCATATACAGGAACGCCTGCACGCCGGTGTTAAAATACGGCTCCGGGTAGATCGAGCGGTCGAGTGACTGGCAGAGATTCTCTAGCTCCGCGACCCGGTGGAGTGTGCTGTGCATCTCGCCCAGCCATTGTTGCACTGTTGAGGTGGCGGGCAGAGTTGTTGTGAACGGAACGCGGCAGTTCATGGCTGCGACGAGAGACGGTGCTGCAGGCCAGGGGACCATGCGGCCTGAGCGGCTGAGGAAGAATGAGGCAGTAGGATGGCCGGTGTAGTTTGCTAGGACGAGGGCCCATGCAGCGAAGATCAAGGTCGCGCTGGATATGTTGTACCCGTTCACTGATGCTTCTATGGAGGCTACGGTTTCCCGGGTCGTATATGACATCCTGTGCCAGGCGTCGCTTTTCAAAGGAGCGGGTATTTGCGGTGGTTGGATGTCGAACATTGACTGTTTACACAGCGGCTCCATCATGCCCTTCCAGCATTCCGTGGCAGCGTCGAGATTGTCCGCCTTGTATTTTGCCATGAACCGAGCGTAGTCGGCGATGCGGGGGCCCGGAGTCACTACTCCTTTGGTGAGGGCTTGCTCCAGGTCGGACGTGAGATTGATGAAGGAGAAGATATCCATGAGGACGTGGTGTAGACGCCAGACGAAACCGATGGCTTTGCAGCTGCTGTTGGGTCCCGGCGCGTAGACGCAGGTCATGTCGGAGTATGGGACGTCTAGACGGACACTCTGCAGATTCCGGTGGTGAGCCCAGACCTGCTCCTCGATGGACAGGAGGGTGTTGTCGAAGTCGTCGGCTTCGACGATAACCTCCTGCCAATCCAGGTTCACGTGGTCCAAGTCGTGCAGTGTCCATGTGTGCAGGTCGTATCGCGTCTTGAACACGCTGTGCGCCGCGAGAGTCGTTGCCCACGCGACTTGCAGTTCGCGGGGCGTTGGAACGGCATCCTGCGTCCCTGCAAACCTGCCACTGACGACGAGAGCATTTGACATGGGGTTCTGCGCAGACTGCGCCAACATCAGTCTGTGCATGTCGGTAGCTGGTGCTGCATCTGACAATGGTGCGATACCATTACCACTACCATTGCACTCGACTAGCTTGAGCTGTGCGTCGATCTTCGTGAGCTTCGTTTCCAGGTGGTCGATGGTGTCTTCGCGAATTATTTTGAGAACGCTGGTAGCATAACCCTGCTGCATCAGAGCCTTGGACACGAGTATAGCCGCCAGCGAGTGACCTCCAAGTCGACTGAAGGACGATGCCCTGGTGAGATTTTGGAAGGGAACGTGAAGGCACTTGGCGAACGCCCACCGCAGCGCATCATAGGACGAGCTACATACAAAGGTGTCCAAATCTGCGTCCTCTTGCGCCATTCTATCTTCCAATTGACCGTTCAGCGCGGCCCGATCCACCTTCCCATGCGCTGTGAGAGGGAATTGGTCTAGCGTCACGAACTCATCCGGGACCACGAACTGGTCAAAGTGGTATCTCATAAACTCACGTAGCCCCTCGAGGTCGACAGTAGCCGGTTGCACGAACCCCATTAGTTTATTGCGCCACATGAAAGCAGACGCTGCCCGAACGTTGCTGAATCGGAGCATCCCAGTTTCGACCTCCGTCTCCAGGTTGATGAGGAATCCACGATTCTTTACCATGCGGTCTATCCGACCAATCCACAATAGTCCTGTTTTCGTCCTCCTAGCCAAGTCACCGGTCCTGTATGCGCGCTTTCCATTCCAGCTGATAAACTTCTTAGCTGTAAGCTCGGGGTTGTTTAGGTATCCCGCGGCCAAACAGGGACCCGATATCAAGATCTCGCCAACACCGCTTTCCCTCAGGTTCTCATCTACAAGATCAACCTGCACTCCGGGGATAATCACGCCTAGGTCTGGCTCTGAGTCTGCTGTTACTCTTCCAAAGGCGATAACAATGGTCGCCTCTGAGGGGCCGTAAGTATGGATCACTTTTCGCGTGGGGGTAATCCATTGACGCGCGATGTCGAAGTTGGGGGCCTCGGCACCCAGATAGAGACTGCGCACCTTGTCAAAAGGCCCAGCTGGATGCAACGTGGCAAGCATCGACGGGGTCATTATTAGAATATCGCAGGTCGTGGCCAATTCGGGGAATGTTGACCAAGGCGCCATAACCAAGGCTCCACCTCTGGTGATTGTTGTCCAAATGGTCGCCGCACATGCTGGCTAATCTTCAGCTACCAAACCACTGGGTAGGCCCATGCAGGGACTTATGCCGCTTACCATCAAACGAAATGGAAAAGGCCAGCAACACACGTTCCCCGGGAGCCGTGTTAAAACAGTCCCCGCCGGTCAATGACACAAATTTGGAGAGAGCCTGATGATAGATCATCACCCCCTTTGGTTTTCCCGTGGTGCCAGACGTAAAAGTGATATACACCAGTGCATTCGTATCAAGACCCCGACGGATGGCGTCCAACTGGCTGCACGTATCATTCACGTTATAAAACGACGATTGAAGCCATGGTTCTTGGAAGAAGACAGTCACTGGTACGCGTTGGGTGTCTGGCTGGCTGGTTGCAATGGCCACCCGCGGCGAGATGTCCTCGAGCGTGCCGTCGATTCTTGCATTGCTCCAGGCTGCCATGTCAATGGGCACATAGCAAGCACCAACCCTGAGGACGCCCAAAATAGCAGGCAGAAGCTCCAAGGACATCTGTGAGAGGATCGGGATCTTGTCGCCAGTACCAGCTCCGACTGAAAGGAGGGCTTGACTGACGTGCAGGGATGCATCTCGTAAACCGGCATAGCTGAGCCTTTGCCCGTTCCACTCCACTGCAGTTGCCTCTGGTGTGCACGTTGCCCAGGCGTCGACGAGGTCAACAACGGTTGTCTCGATGGCCATTGTCGGGGTAAACTCTAGCCAACACCCCCGGAAGTAGTCCCAGGGAAGGCACTTCTTCTGTTGTATACCGTATTAGAAAAGATAGAAATATAACAAGGTAAAGCTAAAGTATCGACGGACTTTAGATAGTGTGCTTACTGCTTAGTACGCCTCACTAAGCACGGCAGAATTAGAGAGTAAGCATCACTGCGCAGATCCCGGTCAAGAGGCTGGAGCAGGCCTTGCATGTCGATACGCACGATCCTCCTCTAATACTTGAGCAGCCGCAACGAGAATGATAAACTGGCAAATCCACTGTCTAGCCTAACATGAAATTCCTGATCAGCGCCCACGTGCCAAAATTCCGGTCTGTGCTCGGCGATGAGTCTTTTCAAGTTTCGTTCTGCCAAGACCATTCCGGACTCGCGGCGCAAATAAACGGTCTCGATGCGATAGACATCTGGGTATGCGAGGGGGGTGAAGTCACCGAGGAGCTACTGGATCAGTGGCTGGGTCGGGATCAGGACTCCCCAAAAGCTCTGCTGGTCAGCGACGCCAAGCACATACCTGAGGTCGACAAGCTGCTCAAGAATCGCGTGACTGGTATTCACGCAGTACCCAAACAAGAAAATCAATCAGATGCGTCCTGGGTGGTGTCGACGCTCCAGGCAGGAGAGATGCTTTATGCTCAGGGTTGGGCCCGCGGCGCACTCCACCACAACGAAAACGACCCCAATGCCGACGAGACGGTCGTACTTATTGGTGCGGGGATTATGAATCTTGTCACGGCAGAGTTCCTCGCTACCCGTGGATTTCGAGTGCGGATTATAGACGCCAACCCGGATCCCCGGACCTGCAAGGACTGGTCTCGTTTGGGGGTTACCCACGGGGGCTTGAATGCCCGCATGTTCACGTACACCGAAGCGGATAGCTACAACGAGAGAAGAAGCTCCATCTATCGTCATATGCGCCATGTCTTCCGCAAGACCAGTCTCAACGGCGGCTGGAGTCTGAAAGCCCCGTCGAGTTTCACGGCGGCCGAGATCGCCTGGGTCAATTCCTTTGAGCAGACTCCGACTTGGTTGGCACAATCGATGAAAGAAGACATCTACTTTATCAACCGGGAAGCTGCAAAGCTCTGGGAGGAGTACATGGACCGCACCCCGGAGCTCTTCAATGGTGTCTCGCTCCACGCCGACATTCTGCGCTTATATGCCGAAGACGTCGCTCTTCATGCGGCTACTGAGGTAAACCGAGGCCTAGGGTCGCTCATGGATGAGATCTCCCAATCCGAGCTCGTGAGGGATTACCCCGGGTTTGCTGCGGCTGTCAGGTCCAAACAACTTGCCGGTGCGATTGCCGTGCAAGGGTTTACCCTCGGCATCCACTTGTTCGTGGGGAAGCTGATCGATCGAATCATGGAGCTCGGTGGAGAGTTCACCTGGAACTGCTCGGTACAGAGAATCCGCCGTAACGCTGCTGGGGAGATAGCTTTGCTGGGTTCACAGGTGGGACCTCTCCATGGGAATCATTTCGTGATCAGCACAGGGGTGACGAGAAATGGACTCTTAGATGGCACGGCCTCGGAGGGATTGGTGCATGGTGTGTTAGGCGTGTGGCTGCAGCTCCCAAACCTGGACCCGATGATCCGGAATTCCATTAAAATTCATCGCCGCGGCTCGCTGGTCGAAGACATCAATGTGACCGTATCGGGAAATGCTCAGACGAAGGAAGAGGTGCTCCTTCTTGGGGGCGGATACGGGTATGTTGGATTGGATCACCCGTCCACAGAGACTCCAGAACTGCAGGCCCTTTTTGACGAGCTCGAGCGAGTGGCGCATACGTACTTCCCGGCGGGATATCGCTTGGCAAAGGAGCGAGGGACCCTGTGGCCGGAGGGGGAACGGAAATTCTGCATTCGACCGTTCACTTGTACGGGGTTGGGTATTTTCGAGGACATCGTCACTGCAGGGGGTGGACATCTCCTCATCACGGGCGGGAACAACACCGGCGGCTTTGCCCAAGCGCCCGCCATTGCACGTGCCGTGTGTCGCGCCATTGCTGGGGAGCACGACCCCGTCCATGTGCTCTTCAACCCCCATCGGAGCAAGCTGGTCTCCCCCGTGCAATACAGTAATGCCAGTCTGCAGACAGCTAGAGGGATCCAGGATGTATAGCACAGTCAAAGACGATAATAAGCTTAGGATAAGCCGAGATAGTCTAGAGAGTAACCCATCTGTCAAAGTGATCACCACAGGCTCCTCCCTCCATAGTTCCTCTTCATCTTTCATCTAAGCTTTGAACTTCATATCCCCGCCTTCTCTTCCTCTCCAATCATCACCTCCATTCCCTAACACAATCCGCCCCTCATCCATCCTCCATTTACGGTCCCTAATGTGATTTTTGACCCTTCATCCGGCGTAATCATAACACAGTCTACATGACCGATGGTATCCAAACATTTCATCTAGTTTGCGACCGTTGTTGCGACGCCGACAGTCCTGACTCACTCAGTAGGGCATTGGCTACTTCCGTGTGCTCAGCAGCAGGTTCCTGACATCCTGATTTGTAATGCTATTGGAAAGTTGTGCTGTTCAGTATTTCTTGCAGGTACCTTGATGGTATCTGATGTTTGGAGTAATCTGTGATACTCTTTCTGACTTCTATTGGCCAGACAAAGCTTGCACCGTTTTCTCCAAATGTGGGAATGTAGTCTTTAGCCCGAGCACCATTGAGTCGTTGCGCTGCACGGTGAGCCGCTCTCATCCATTCCTTGCTTGAAGCTTTCGTATTTTCTCTTCTTCTCGATATATCCGACTTCCAGGATGCGACGACCGATCCTACTGAAACGTTCGTTGTTAGTAGCCAGATTGGAGGTTGAGGAGTATAGGCAGAAAGCTGTGGGGGAAAGCCGTGAGGGTGTAGATAGCTATAAAGAGGATTTGATAGATCATCAAGACTGGGGGAAAGTAAATGAGGTTTCATTGTGTCCTGTACTAACTACCCCCCTGATTTCTCAATTGGGACGAATATACATGATAGGGGCTGGAGAAACGAGGCCGACTACGGCGAGGTTTGTCCCTTACTCCTTACGCGCGGCCAGGAACTTGGACACAAAGCGTTCGGACAAGGAGTAAAGGGACCCAGCACTAGCGATGTCAAGAGTAGACATTTCCACAGCCAGAGTATCACGCAGCCAGTTCCGAAATTCCATCGCAGTCAGCGAGTCCAAACCGTAGGCGCCCAGCGGCTTCGAGGGCTCCATGGGCTCGGCCAAATGCAAGAACTTGGTCAACTGGATGTTGAAGAGATTGACCGCATGACCGACCACAGCGGCCGGGTCACTAGCTGAGGTAGCCACATCGATGAAATTAGCCAACTCACCACTGCCCCCCCCTGGGCCGTCAGCGCGACCCCCCTCGTCTCCTTGCGCGATGAGAGGGAGGAATCGGTTGTCTCGGGCATATTGGGAGTCTGTGTTGATTCGTTCGCGCATCCCCACAACGAGTTGGGTGATTCCAGGGCGCTTCTGACTTGGATCCATCTGTTGGAGAATGGAGTCTCGAAGGATGGATTCCAAGTGCATCTCGCGGATCAAGGAAATGTCGTTCAGTGGAAGATGGCGTTGCCAGTTACCCTGGTTTTCAGCGATATACCCAATATCCTCGACGGCACTGAGGTTGATACTGTGCGCCGGGAGGCCCAGGCTCTGGCGGTACTCGGCGAAGGCATCCAGAAAGATATTGCCAGCAACGTAGTTGGCCTGCCCAACATGTCCCATAACACTGAGAATAGAGGACAACATGCTGAAAAAGTCCAGGGACAATCCGCGCTCAACTGCGGCATGATGAACGTTCCACGTTCCGTGGAGCTTACCAGACAAAGTGCTCTGGAACTCTTCCAGGGTCATTGTTTCCAAAGGCTTATCCTAATCGATATTAGAGCCCGGGTCAAAGTCAGGGGTGTGTTACGAAACACAGGAAAGAAACTTACGTTCAAGACCATGACACCTTGGATGACACCAGCGATGGGGAGTCGAGCTGTGTCGAAGACACGACCAACATCGGTCGGCGACAGGACGTTGCCGTGGATGTCTTCGATAGTACAGCCCAAGCGACGGCAAGCCTCGATGATGGTTTGGGACTTTTCATCGCCCAAACCGGAGCGCGACATGACCACCAAGTTACGGGCCCCCCAACGCGCCAGGGAGATGGCAAAGCGACCACAGACTCCGCGCAGGCCTCCAATAATCAGGTAGGAGGCATTCTTTCGAATGGCTGGCTGCTGGACGGCTGTCTGTACGGGTACGACACAGTCCTGGCCTTCACCATTGCACAGGATCAGCTTGCCCAAATGACGGGACGACCGCATTTGCGCGAAGACATCTTTGACCTTGTCATATGTGTACACCGACCGCTCCTCGACAGGGGGCACATGACCAGCCTCGATGAGCTGGAAGACTTCTCGTAGGACGCTAGAGTCGAACCCGTCAGAAAATGTAAACTCGTTCGCTTAAGGGATCATATAATACCTGCTAACCCTCTCAGGTTGAGCCAAGGCCAGGGTCAGATCCAGGGCTCGGAACGAACAACCGCGGTCGAAAGGCTCGAGAGACAAATAACCCTTAGACCGGATATCGGCTTTTCCAAGCTCGACGAGGACACCATCCTGGGCGCAGATACGCCAGGAATGCTCCAGCATCTCTCCCATCATAGTGTTGATCACAACATCGACGCCCTTGCCGTTTGTGACATTCATGATGCCTGAAGCAAAGGACGAGTCTCGAGAGGAGAAGATGTGGCTTTTTGGAATGCCGTGGGCCTCATGCAGATAGCTCCTCTTTTCGTCCGATCCAGCAGTCGCGAATATCTACAGGAGCACGGGAGCAGGTCAGTCACCGGACATAGGCTTGCGTTTTTTGCGGAGAAACGAAGTGCATAGTTCTCTCCTACCTCGGCACCAATATACTTCGCCAATTTGATACACGCAAATCCAACACCACCTGTGGCGGAATGAATCAAAACGGACTAGAAATAGTTAGTAGGTTTTAAAGAAAGACAATGGAGCAGTCTGATGGGAAGGAAGGAGATTACCTGGGATTTCCTCAGACTGGCCAGATGGAGGAGTGACAAGACGGCCGTGCAGTAAGCGACGGGAACTGAAGCCGCTGCCTGTGCGGATCATTAGCGATATGAAGCTCGAACGCATGGAATAGACTCGGTTCCATACCTCCATGGACATACTATCGGGGATGCGGATAACGTTGGACGGAGAAGCCTGGATACGGTTGGCAAGGCAGCCCTGCGAGATCACCGCGACTCGATCGCCGCATCGGAGGCCCGAGACATTGCGGCCAACCCGGCGGACAATGCCTGCGCCCTCACTGCCGAGCATGTGCTCATCCTCATCAACCAGTTCCATGGAGATGGCGATATCTTTGAAGTTCAGACCGGAGGCGTACAACTCTACCTCGACCTTATCCTCTGATAGCTCTGACAGATTGGAAGGGAGCTGAACGTAACGCAGGGATTCAATAGACCCGACGGTCCCAGTCTGCAGACGGATAATGGAATCGGACTCGTGCATCTTCAGCTCCGTCAATGGCTGGGAGCCGCCCAGGGGCTCATGGAAGCCCTCAATGGCGGATTGATTTTCGAGCCGACTAACATGGAGCAGTCCACCGCGCTCGGCGAAGTCACAATCGGCGGCCTTGGCACGCTCTAGATGCTCTACGCGGAAGAGCATCTCCACGATGGCTGCACATCCTGCGGCAGACCCTAGGTCGCCTTCGATATCAAGGTTGATAATGGCCTGAGACGGGTCCTCCAGACGAGCAGTACGGAGCAGACCATGGCTGACCGCGTTCGTTGGATTGCTGACCTGGACCAGGGCACCTCGGGTCACCCAGACCATGCGGCAGTGTCTATCCACAAGTGTCTTGAATCCGTTCCAGATCTTGTCCGTTGCCTCAGCGAGCAGTGAGGATTGGACTTCATCAACAACCAGGACTATGGCGTCCGTGGGGATTTCGGCAAACGGATAGAAGTGCTCCTGGAAGTCATAGTTGTACCTACCAAGGGCCTTGGCCAAGGACCCCAACGGGAGAGCGTCCCCTCGGAACCGCGCAATAGCAACTGTGCGTGTCTTTTCTGGAATGAGGGCCAAATTGGAGCCTCGCCACAGGATGGCCTCGCCAGCTGGATCCCCAGCAGTCAGAACTGCGGTGTAGCTGGCAGCTTGAAGGATCTGATCAAGGACCTCTGAGGGCTTTGTGGGAGTATTACCATTCATCAGGGCATGGGGAGTCAGTTTCTGTACTGGTAAAATAGTGCCGGTGTTGGGCGAAATAAGGTTCAAGGCGTCGGGGACCAAATTCTGCAATGTCTGGAGCTGGGTATCTGATTCGTAGTGAATGATGAGCAGGTCGATTTCACCCGAGACCGTCCCCAGCTTGGAGCTGGCCGGGTCAATGTATCCGACCCGCACGCCTCGGTCCGCCAGCTGCTCACGAGCCTCTTCAGCCGCACCACTATGGCCCAGCAAGAAGCGATAATCACGGAACTTACGGTTCCGTTTGCTCTCGGCGCCTCCAAGCCAGAGGCTGGTCGATACCTGGGTGAGGTTGACCTCGACCACATTCATGAAGGGAGTTTTGTGGGTGATGAGGTCGATCAAGGCCTGCACCTCCATTGTCGGCATCTCCATGGTGGCTCTGGGGCTTTGAGCTGGGTCCTGCAAGAGTGACACATCGGGGCGCCACACTGGTGCTACAGGAGACGTATCTACCCGGTTGATCCCAGAGCTAACCAGCGACTGAATAACCATGCCTTCGATTGACGCCAGTACCGCGCCTGTCTGGGAATCGTGCAGATATGCATGGCTTTTGAGACTATGGGGATCTGTAGGTCGGCCATGACCCTTGTAGCCGGAAGTGGCCACACAAGTAGCGTAAGGTGAGGACCCAGCCATAGGAAAGATAGTAAAGGAGTCGACTTGCACGGGGACCGCAGGCCCCGGGATTAACGTGCGGTCCCCTTGCCAGATAGCGGTCAGTATGCACTGCAAGATCGTGTCCATGGGGGCGGGATGTAAGGGATAAGACGACTGGCCCTTCTCCTGCTCCTCGTCCCGGATGAGCAGCTCTGATACTGTTCGCTGAACCCCTGGCAGAGACTTC